ACTCCCCCTTATCACACCAGTGGTACCTTGTTACCTTTACCATGCCCATCCCATCCATTCGACCGCGTTGGCATCGATATCTATGGTCCCCTTCCCAACACTGCTGATGGTAACCGCTGGATCATAGTTGCCGTCGACCATTTCACGCGGTATGCCGAAACTTCATCCCTTCCCTCGTCTACAGCAAAGGACGTCGCGACTTTCGTACTTCACAACATCGTATTACGTCATGGAGCACCTCGGGAGTTATTGAGCAATCCTGGTCGCGTATTCTTGTCAGACGTCTTCACAGCATTGCTGCGTGAGTGCCACGTCGTTCACCGCACTACAAGCGGCTATCATCCCCAGATCAATGGAATGACAGAACGCTTCAACCGCACCCTTGGTGACATGCTGTCCATGTATATCTCGTCAGACCACTCCAATTGGGACCGAGTGCTCCTGTTTATCACGTTCGCCTATAATACCGCCATTCAAAGCACTACTGGGTTCTCTTCTGTTTTCCTGCTTTACAGACGCGAACCTTCTTGCACAATGGACACCGTTCTTTCGTACAAACCTGACTCCTCAGTGTCCACGACTTTGTCTCAAGCCGCTACATACGCTGAATAATGCCGCCAACTGGCAAGATCATTCACAACCCAAGACCAAGGACGCCAAAAGCACCACCATGACGCATCAAATAACACTACTTTTTACGATCCAGGTTCACTCGCCTGGCTGCATGTCCCTTCAGCTACACCTGGCCTTTCTACCAAGTTGGTCCCCAAGTATCACGGCCCATATCATGTGCTACAAAAAACATTACCAGTGAACTACCTCATTCAGACACTGGAACCATCTTCTGACCAACGTCGTCGTGGCCAGGAAATTGTCCACGTCTCGAGACTTAAGCCCTGCTACGACCCTCCCGTGTTTACTTGTCCATAGGTCGCCAGGATGGCTCCTTATTTCGCGGGGAGTAATTGTAATGAATCTGAATAACGGACGCTCTGCTGGCAATGAAGAAGACGATGATGATCTGTGGCTGTAGTAGTAGCTCGCGCACGCCGCTCGCCATTAGCCAGACCTGCCTGATAAAGCACATTTTTCCAAGCTGCGTCTGAACCTTTCTCGACGTACAACATCTCTATTTTAATTATATATATATATATATATATATATATATATATATATATATATATATATATATATATATATATATATATATATTATTTATATATATATGCAGAAGAATAACTTCCCGCAAGGTTATAAGTATAAAAGTAGATGCGCTTTCACAAAACCACTTGTTTATTTCGCCGATGTTTCGACGGGAGCCCCGTCTTTTTCAAGGCATAATACTATTTACACATTTTCGTGCCTTCCTATAGCTTCTCGAGACAGGAGGGAAGGGAACAGAAGAAAAATATTATCAACAAAAAAAGAGGAGAAAGAAAGGTTAGAAAGAATCAAGAGGGGCAAGGCGGGGTTCGGAAGGAACAGGAACTCAACAAAGGCGAACGTAAACGAGCTATATGCCATTTTTGTCAACAGCATGGTCAGTACCTCCCGAGCACCCACCCTTCCACCAAGTGGACATTTTGACCACCGTTTTTGTATTTCACCATCTGGTGCAATCCGCTGGCAACTTGCTCTCTCTTGAAGTGTACGACAAAACAGTGGGAGAGCTTATGTGCTTCAAGTGCATGGTGGTGGCGTTGGAGGATATGAAGAGAACCGGTAATTATGGCGCCGCTTTCAATATTCATATATGCATTGGCTCCTGTCGGTGAAGGAAAAGAAGAAAAAAGGGCAAGAAAAAACAAAGAAAAAAAAAGGGGGGTGCACTTGCATGACACTAGGACCACTTATCTGTGCGTTCCGGCTGTGCTTGAAGTGGCAAACCATTTCTCTATTATCAGATGTGTACGTTAAAAGATTTGTTAGGGGTTAATATTATCGTTATAATGGGAGGCTAGGGGCAGAATATTCATTAAAGACAGGCGTTTGCGTCTTTTAGTGATAGCAGCGCTGACAGAGTGCCTGGCTGTTCATTTATTCTGTTTTTTATTATGTTGAATTTGTAGATAAAGTAAGATTTTCTTTGTTCCCGCTCTCTCATTGTTCGAAAATTGCTTTCTAATAGTGTAACTCTGATGTCATCAAAGCTGTGGTCCTTTTAATATACTGTGTTTTGAAAGTGGAAGGCCTGACAGGGAACGTACATGTGCCCGATATTTGTTGAATCTAATTGTAAACGGTGTTTCTGTCTGGCCCACGTATTGCATGTTACACACCCCGCAATTCAGAAGGTATATTACGTTATCTTAGTCACAGTCCAGTGCACCTCTAATTCTGTGCTTAAAATCCGAGTGGGTGCTTTCCGCCACTGTCGTTGTCTGCATATGTTTGTGTACGTTGCATCTGCTTTTTCTGCAAGGGCGACACCCTGTTTGAGGTTTCACGCCTATTTTTGAATTTGTCAATTGATCACTTATACTTTTCGGCCACCTGTATAACACGCAAGGAGGAGAAGTGAAAAGTTTGGATAGTCGCATGCTCTGTTCCAATATGTTAAAATGTTTTCTTAGGACCTTGTCTGTGTTCGGTGGGTTGCTCGTGAAAGTTAATAGCAAATTTTTGTTACGGATGCTGGTCGGCATCTTTTTGGTGGTGTAGAAGAGTCTGGTGGTCCCGATTTTCCGCTTTTTTGAAGGCGCCATCAATGAGAGCTGACGGGTGTTCTTGATGAAGGAGAACTTCGCGCATATGTGTGCTGTTTCTGTGCAAGTCCTCGGTGCGGGAGCAGATTCGTCGGAATCTGTGTGCGTGGGAATAGAGAATGTTGGTCTTGCAGTGTCGCGGGTGGCAGCTTTTGAGGTGCAGGTATTGTTGCCAGCCTGTAGGTTTTCTGTGTACGCTAGTTACCAACGCACCATCGTCCATTCGAATAAGTACATCAAGGAAACTTAATTCAGTGTTGGAGTAGGAGTGTGTAAAATAAACGCTGGGGTGTACTTGGTTGCCTATATGAATTTGAGCAGCTCGTTTTCCGAATGTGTCCAAATCATGAATATATCGTCTAGGTACCGTTTATAGATTAAAGGTTTTATATCACAAGATGAAATAAAATTGGACTCTATATGGTGCATGGATATGTTAGCGCAGTTTGAGGCCATTCTTGTACCCATTGCCGTGCCGTTGTTTTGAAGGTAGTACCAATTGTTAAATTCAAAGCTGTTCAATTCGAGTACAAGTCTCGTTAAAATTTCAATTACTTTTTTGCTTGGATATGCGATAGGGTTGTGAGTGCCATACGATTCAACAAGTGCCCTTACGCCATTGTCATTTGGGACATTTTTGTAGAGTGAATTAACATCCAATGTTACAAAGAATGCACCTTCTCGAATTTTCACGTCTGATATTTCCCGAAGGAAATGGTTTGTGTCACACAAGAAGGACTCATGTGTTGGTGGTATGTTTTTGAGTAAAGAGTCAATATAACTGGAAATGGGTTCCGTTAACGTTCCCGTGCCTGATATAATGGGTCTGCCAGGGTTTCCTTCGTTATGGATCTTCGGCAGCATGTAAAAACGACCAGGTGCCGAATGTACCGCAGTAAGTGCTTTTTGAAGCTTTGAATGAATGGTGCCTTCACGCGTGAGATCCTCTAGGGTTGTTAGAATTGTCTTCTTGTGCTCGGTGGTAGGGTCCGAGTCGAGGGGTTTGTAGAATTGTTTTTCATTTAGTTGTCGCCTGCATTCCTTGATTTAGTCCGATTTATTCAGAACAACAATCGCGCCTCCTTTGTCTGATAGTTTAAGGAGGAGATCTTCGCGGTTGCTCAACGCGAGTAGTGCCTCTCTTTCTTTCCTTGATATGTTATTCATACCTGGTTTGTGCACCTTGTACGCATGTACGACATCTTTCTGAACCACTTCTATATATAGATCCAGATGTCGGTCTCTGTTGGCGTCTGGGGTCAATTGCCGTCTGATTACCCCACAAAATAGCGGGTTTTCTTTTTGGGGTTTATTGAAGAAATATTCCTCCAATCGTGAATTTCGTGCGAAGTCGTTCAGGTCTTTTAGAAGCGTGAATTCATCGTACTTTTCATTGCCAGGGCAGAATGTAAGTCCGCGTGATAGTAAACTCAGTTCTTCGTTGTTAAGTTCTTTATCTAAAAGGTTATTCACGTTTGGTTCTTCGGAATGTGGTGGCAAATCTTTTTGAACATGAGGTGGCCTGGTCTTTTTGATGTAGGCAGCCGTGGGTATAGTTTGTGGTGAGATATTGCCCGCAGAAATTTTTTTCTCTTATGTTTTTCTATTTCCTCTGTTTTTTTGTGCTCAAATATGGCGAGCTCTTCAGTCGCACACTTACAGAGGAAAGTTATTTCTCATATCCTGCTCCTCCTCTGTTAGTGCGTTCAGAGTCTTTCTACTGTGTTGAATGGTGACCTTAGTTAGCTCCTGTGTGGCGTGATTGAGAATTTTGTTCCATTGTTTCATTTCCCCTTTGTCAAAATTATACATCGATGGTGTTAGTGACAAGCGCAACCATTTCGGAGCCGTGCCCGCCAGTACATATTCTTCGAGACTACGCACGTGAAGTTTGTGCCGTATTTGGTTATCAACCACTTTTCTAAGTTTAAGAAAATTTGGACCTGTTCTGTGGCCTAATTCACCTGAAGCGGATGGTGTTTGCCCATTCCCACAGCCAGTATGTCATTTTGCACAGACGCGGCGAGTAGAACTGCAAGGTACCCGGAGGTCGTACCTGGTTTGGGTTGGAGCTCCATCCCCTCGCAAAGGGGCCGTATATTCTATGTATTTTATTTTCGAGCATGTAATAAAAAACCATCCCAAATAAATTGAAAGAAATTTTATTTATAGGCTTTTAGCGCTGACATGAATGAATTATATTGCTAAAAGTAAATGATAAACTTTTGTGTTTTGAGAGTTGAAGCCACATGTTAGTCATTTTTGCATCCAATCCAAGTCACATGATAGCCGTTGTGTGTAAAAAACAGCTGATCATTTCTGCGAGCCGCGTTTTGCATTCTGTGGCATATAAATCTGCGAGACGAATGTAATTATGACTACTGAGGAGCAATTTCGTCGCTGAAGGATATGGCAAGCTGCGATGAACAAGGATAAATCGCAACATTCTTGTCGTAAGGTGAGTAAACAAAGCCCAACATACTTCGATCACGATATATTTACTTCGATTTTGTTCTTACAGCTAACAAAGCATAAACAGGAGAAGCCTGCACTTTTGCCTTCTATTAACAGCTAAGCAACACTTTTTTTTTAATTTAAGGAACGATCGTGCATGGGCGAGCGTCGTTACAGAGCACGATGCATAAAACGGATGCGCGCATTCATGTATTTACCCAGTGCATCTTACGTACATCTTTACCATATTGAACTCTCGCAGAAGGATGTTGTTGCGTAAAACATTTATGTTTATCTGCAGTACGTGGATCTTCATTTGCGATGATTTAGCAATTAGATTTGATGAGCATATTTGTTCTAGCCGGCTAATAATTTATATGATATATGCTTCCCATTGTTTTTTTACCACGTTGTGGCGAGAACTGGCGAAAAATGGGGCGAAAACATTTACGAAGCCACTCGTTAGGGTTCCCTAGCAGCGGCGAGCCAGTTTTTTTTTTTTTTTTGTCCTTATCGAGCAGAAGGGCTACGACTTCGTTGGCAAGTTTTGAGGGCTGTTGACAGAGCAGCACTGCGTACAGTTGACATCATGTTCGATGCACTCTGTTTTTGAAATGGAGATTACTTAGCTAATTGGTCTATTCTGTGTGCACTTTGCTAATCCAGGAGGTCCATCCAAGAGACAAGAATTATGTGCCTACTTAGCGTACCTCATAAATTACTTGATTATTTAGTTGGCTTGCATTATTGGCATGAAAAGATAATTTTTTTGGCAGACAGCAAACTAATGCACGGTAAAGACAGATAACAAAGAATGACCACTGTTACTATACAGAGTAGAACATTGTCAAAGCCCCAGCTTTCTACATATATATTCAAAGTGTAAGGAAAGGGACAATATTTTCGGAATTAATATGGTAGTGATCACTGAACCAAAAAATCAGATTTGCAGTGGTAATTACAATGCATGTCGCACATTGCAGCATGCATTTCATATACTGTTACTATTGTGTTGTGTCTCTGAATTAGCTAGGCACAAAACTTTTGCATAGTTACTGGGCAACCATTAAGAATTTATGGCTTCTCTTGATGACTGCTGATTGACAAGACCTAATAAGTGAAATAATGCCCGCCATTGACAGGTGGGGCATACTTTTCAATAGAACAAACAAAAAATATCATTGGGGTGCTGAAATCGGTGCAACATTCGAATGTCACAGGTTACGCACTCCCTGCAACTTTGCTGTGCTTACTGCTGGTACTGATAAATTAACAACATGCCTATAGATTTATGCTGTACACCTAAAAAGTTCCGCAATCCTTTTACTTTGTAAATGAGGCTGAAGTGCAAGGTCATACTTAACAATGCTACATTGAGGTGCTTGTGACAAGGTTTGGAAGAAGCCAAGTGAAGCCAGTCTGTATCACTTTTTTGTGGTTGGGATGTGTTATAAATGGGCAAAAAAAAGGTTGGCTTTTTTCTATCTTCATAATTACCTTTCTTTTCTAAATCAATCACAAATGCCACGTTTTTTACAAATGCATCACTTTTGTTTCCTGTATATTTTTGCATTACAGTGTCTTCAATACATCACGAGATTTGTCTACATCATCTGGAGCTTCTCGATGAAGTGAGGGGCTGGCGTTCGGCTACCCTGGCAGTCGTTGTGCCTTGAACTCCTCAGTCTTTGCTGTCACCACCTCAGTAACCACTATGGGCATCATCATTTTTTCACATTTAACTTTTCTTTCTTTAGTGGTGTTTTACTTGCAAGTAAGGTTTTCAATACAAGTGTGGTGCATAACAGTGTTCAATTATTCACCTTTTCACAGTCATGAGAGGGTATCTTCACACATTACTTTTCCGTGTGCTTGTCGGCCTTCTAAACTGATGCACACAACAGATATCACGTGGCTTCGTTTCATCAGACAAGCCTGGCATCATGTATATATAATGTTCTAGTATTAATTACCCATTTGACGCAGTGTTTCATTCAGCATAATGTTTCTTGTAATGTGTGCAACGTTATAAATCTCTGATTTGAGAACATGACCCCATGATTTCACAACGCGAATTTATCTACAAAAAGTGTATGCATCTTAGCATTGGCATGAGCATGAATAAAACTTTTTTTACAATGTCCCGACTTGAAAAAAAGGCTGCGTACTTATCTTTCACATTACTTCAGCATTTACAAATAAGCAAAATGTCCTTGAAAAGCTAGACTATCTGTTTCAGTATGGGTTGTCCCATTCCCTAGGAACAGTTGGGGGGATGTGTCAAAGAAGGTCACAGAGTGTAGTTGGTGTGTGTGGCTTAGACATGAAGCGAGATGACAGTGCGCAGGCATGATGCAGACGACGGTAACAAGTGTCGGCAAATGCAGGATGGCAGCAGCGACAAAAAACGGCAGCATATCCACGGAGTGAATGATGGATGGTGGGGCGAAGCATCCGTCCGTCCATTCATTCTTGCTTCCGTCCGTCTATGCGTCCATCTGTGTGACCATCCGTGCATCCATTCACCCGTCCGCGCGTGCGTCTATTCGTGCGTCCGCACGTCCATCTGTGCACCCGTCCCTGCGTTCGTCCAAGCATCCAGCCCTGCGTCCGTCCATGCGTCCATCTGTCGGTGCAGCCATCCGTGAGTCCGCCCATGCATCTGTCTGTGTGTCCGTTCGTCCATCTATTCAACACTACAAGTACCACCATCTCGCATCTTTTCATCATATATTTCGCTTATGCACTGCCATCCAGTGGACATTCCAAGGACTAAACAAGAGGTGGCACACGCACACTTTCTTACGACTTGCACTTCGTGTCTACTTCCCACCTTTAACCACCTCGAGTTCATGGTATATACTATTTCACTGTATTCATGGCACTGCGGCCCAACGCTGGCTAAACCTTTCTAAAACCTAGGAGGTTACGCCCAGCGAGTATAACGTAGCAACCCTTTCTTATCTTCTGTGCGTTGTTGAACAATAAAAAATTCGCAGCGTGCGCGTTAACTAAAAGCGGAATTTTCCTGTCTCTCATTTCCCCTTAGCAGCCATTGGCATGTACATTGAGCACTATCTTTTATTGTTCAACAATCCGATGGAGGTGGAAATGCTGTAGGCCCGTGTTCTCAGATTTGGGTGCACGTTAAATAACCCCAGGGGGTCTAAATTTCTGGAGCCTTCCACTACAGCGTCTCTCATAATTATATGGTGGTTTTGGGACCTTAAACGCCACACATCAATCAATCATTATTGTTCAACATTGCACAGAAGAAATCTCTCACTGGCACCACCTTGGAGGTCAAAATGTTATACTTGTTACACACTACTACAACGGCTACGAGGGACGAACGAGTGCCGCTATGAGGAGCTTCGCCCCTAAAAATGATTCTGGTGCACTGTGGCTACAGTGCTTGACTGTGGACCCGGATCACACGGGCATGATCAAAGTTTCTGAGGTGTACTTCGATGAAAGAGGAATGCAAGAGGCGTGCGTAGCATTTGCATACGCATTAAAAAACCTGAGGTGTTCGATTTTTCTAAAAACCTGAAGTGAAGTGTACCTCGTGATTATATTGTGGTTTCAGATCATAGTACCCACGCAAACATTTTAGTTACAATGTGGTAAAGCCTTTGAACAGTGGGTCATCCTCTTCAGCGCCATCTAGTGGGTCGCCCTTTTTCTTAAGAAGAAGAGCAGCTCGTGCAGAGAGTCGATCCCCGCATTGACTGTCGCTGTCGTGAATCATCGCTGAGTGTCCGTCAATAAACCGCTTAACAATTTGGTGGAGAGTGCTGAGAGTGCTGTGCCCTTCAAACACCTTCGGTCAGCATTCGATGCCCTTGGAGCTTCGATCCCGTACCGTGCCTCCAACCATGTACCAAGACGCCGCCCAGCAAACCCTTCCTCCTACGTCGCCACCATGTCCCGGTGTCCCCCGCATCCGCGACCCTCCTGTCTTCACCGGCGCGGATGGCACCGACGTCGAGGACTGGCTTGCCATGTACGAACGTGTGAGCGTCCCCAATCATTGGGATGAGGCAGCTAAACTAGGTAACCTATTCTTCTACCTTGCGGGTGTGGCCGGAATGTGGTACAATAACCACGCATCTGATTTCCCGACTTGGTCCGCTTTTAAAACCGCTGTCGTCGACGTGTTCGGCCGCCCTGCAGTTCGTAAGCTGCAAGCTGAACAGCGTTTACGTGAACGAGCCCAGCAGACCGGTGAGTCCTTCACAAGTTATATCGAGGACATCCTTGACTTGTGCAAGAAAGTCGACCCGAACATGTCAGAGGCTGACAAAATCACGCATGTTCTAAAAGGCATCGCCGACGATGCCTTCACCATGCTCCTGGCAAAGAACCCCCACACTGTGGCAGAAGTCATCATGTTATGCCAAAGTTACGACGAGCTGCGGCGGCAGCGCTTGATGACCCGTCGTCCGCCACCACGTGATGCTGATCTCTCGGCCTTGTCAGCAGTTCCAGACCACGCAACCTTGCTCGCCGAAATCAAGTCGTTCGTGCGTGAGGAAGTTGCCCGCCAGGTCTCTCTACTGGCTTTTGCTTCCCCACAACAAGCTCAACAGCCATCAAGTACACTTCTACCTCCGCTCCGCCGAGCCATTCAGCAGGAAATCGCGGAGGTCGTCCCTGAATACCACAAGCCACCTCCTGCATCTGTGCCACTCAGCTACGCCCAAGTTGTTGCCAGGCCGCCCCCACCGATTTCTGTCACTGTTCCGCTAAATTACACCGAAACCGTCGCGAGGCCTCAGGCCTTTGGAGAACCTGTCTCGCCTACATACGCCGGCGTCACCCACGTGCCCCGAGTGCCGCCTACCATGCACTCATATCAGCAGCCGGCTCGCCAATCGCGTTCTGCGACATGGATGCGACCAGCAAACCAATGGCGCACTGCTGATAATCGCCCCATCTGTTTTGCTTGCGGTTGCGTCGGTCATGTGGCACGATATTGCAATCGTGTGCAGCAACCGCAGGTCGCCTCCAACTTTCCCAGCCAGTCAAGACGCTCTTATGACCAACCGCCGCCTATGTCACCGTCGTCCCGCCCCGTTCCGTCTACCCGCCGTTCACCATCTCCACGACGTCGCTCACTGTCACCGATGCGGCCACGTCCACTCGAGGGCGACCAGGAAAACTAGTCGTCGCAGTCCACGAGGCAAGGGCTGCGACGCTGTCGAACTGCGGAAGCCCTCAGGAAAGCCCGTCAAACGTGATAGACGTGCTTGTGGATGGCGTTCGTGCATCTGCCCTTGTAGATACTGGAGCCGCCGTATCCGTGATGGACGAAAAACTTTGCCGATTACTGCGCAAAGTGACCACGCCGCTTTGCGGGCTCTCCCTCCGTACAGAGAGCGCCCAAAAAATTCACCCTACAGCGATGTGCACAGCCCGCCTTATGATTCAGGACGTGATGTATGCGGTCGAATTCATCATAATTTCTTCATGCTCACACGACGTCATCCTAGGATGGGATTTTCTCTCCCGCCACGACGCCGTCATTCATTGCGCACCAGCAGAAATAGAACTCGCGCCATTCTCTTCTTTGACGCCGGCCGACAGTCCATCCGCTGCAAGCAAGTTACTCGTCAGAGACGACACTCAAGTGCCTGCAAACTCGTCCGTTGCGGTGTCGCTCTACTGCGCAAGCCTTTCTGACACCGCTGCACTCCTCTCGCCATCTCATCGTGTTTTCATAAGAAAAAGCTTGCTGGTTCCTTTCGCGACCGTCCAACTCACTCACGGCAGCACCACTATTTTTGTTGTGAACCCGTATCCGTACAGCGTTACGTTGGTGCGAGGAGAATGTCTCGGCAGCGTGGAACCCATCGAAGACGCGCAAGTTATGGATCAACCCGATGACATGCACTACCCAAGTTCCTGTACGCTTGGTGCTGTTTCGACATCTGCTTCATCATCCGATGATATATTCGGTCCCTGCATACCCGACGACCTTACGCAGGGCCAGCGTTCCCAGCTTGTGGGCCTGTTGGAAGAATTCCGCTCTTCTTTCGATGTCGCTCAACCTTCTCTCGGCCGCACATCCACCGTTACGCATCGCATCGACACAGGCACACAGCCACCGCTGCGGCAACGTCCATATCGCGTATCTCCCACAGAACGCCGTGTAATCAACGAGCAAGTCGACGACATGCTTCGCCGCGATGTTATTCGCCCCTCTAGCAGCCCCTGCATCTCCTGTCGTTCTCGTCACGAAGAAGGACGGTTCTGTGCGGTTCTGTGTGGACTACCGACGCCTCAACAAGATCACTCGTAAGGACGTGTATCCACTACCGCGGGTAGATGACGCGATCGACGGCCTGCAAGGAGCAGAATTCTTTTCATCCCTCGATTTGCGCTCAGGGTACTGGCAAGTACCTATGGCTGAGGACGCTCGACCAAAGACCGCTTTTGTCACCCCCGACGGCTTGTACGAGTTTAACGTTATGCCGTTTGGGCTGTGCAATGCGCCCGCCACCTTTGAGCGCATGATGGATACAGTTCTGCGTGACCTGAAATGGCACACGTGCCTGTGCTACCTCGATAACGTCGTCGTTTTCGCTCCTGACTTTTCGACGCACCTTCAACGCCTTCGGCATGTTTTAACGCGTCTGAGAAACGCCAGTCTGCAACTGAACCCAAAGAAGTGCCAATTTGCAGCACGGCAGCTGACAATACTCGGCTACGTCGTGTCCAAGGACGGAATTCTCCCTGATCCAACCAAGCTTCGGGCCGTGACCGAGTTCCCCAAGCCGACATCCGTGAAGGAACTGCGCAGTTTCGTAGGACTGTGTTCCTACTTTCGGCGCTTCATTCGAAACTTCGCGACTATCATATCGCCGCTGACGAAGCTTCTCGGAAGTAACGGGCCTCTCCATTCGTGGTCATCACAGTGCGACGACGCTTTCAGAACACGTCGTCGTTTGTTGACGTCGCCTCCCATACTCCGCCACTACGACCCTACGGCCCCTACAGAGGTACACACGGATGCCAGTGGTGTCGGCCTCGGCGCTGTCCTTGCGCAGCGCAAACCAGGGTTCCCGGAATATGTCGTGGCGTACGCGAGCCGTACGCTTACTAAAGCCGAGACTAATTACACAGTCACCGAGAAAGAAT